TTTAAAAATCAGGTGCACTGTGATTTTATTCTGTCACAGCAACACATTGCTTAACCAAAAGTTCAATTGATGTTTGAATATTGTAGAATTTAGTTTATTTATGTCATGGAATGATACTCAATTCTAATGACACTGTTGTATGAAGAGGCTCAATATCTATTTTAAAAAACATTTGCATTTTTGGCTTTATCACGTGTGTCATTACAAACATCCATTGCAAATATATGTGTAGGGTATGTGTTTATCTTCAGTAAAACTCCTACATGAAATGTTTTCAACGGTTTATGTTGCACTCTATGTTGGCAACACACAGTGCGGCGTCTCCATGTGAGAATACGGCATGCACAAGTATTGAATATTGGCTACGGCTCTCCACCGCTGCCTCTTTTGATCAAAATTTGAAGTCGTGTCGCAGGAGGTGGGACTGGATTATGGCTACCCCTGTAATGCACCACCCCATAAAATGCCATGTATAACTAGATTGATACACCGGCAGTGCTGGGTGCACATACGTGAATTACAAATTCTCAATCAGCTCTCTCCATCTTTCCGATCCTTCAAAGCCATCTGAGAATCGGAAAACAGGCTCTTCCACTCATATTTCCTTGCCATTTTTTTCATTTTGCATGTTCCAATGACTGTTATGTGCATTCATTTCAGCTAGAGTACAAGCCGCTGATGAGTCATTGCTTACAGGACGACCAGCTTCTTAGCATTTCTTCACGATGGCCACTGTTGTTAAGGTGATTGTACTGTGATCTCTTACTGTAGCCTTCTTGGTAAAACGTAAGTGATCTTTTGTTATTGGTCATCCCAAAGGTAGGATTCACTGATTGAGTCTCCTGTGAACTCATTCCCTCATGTCCTGTAGACCTAGTACATTAAGACCTACCCCACCTTACTTTCTTATAATATAGCGTGTGTAAACAAAGTGTGACTTCATTGTGTCTATTTAAAGATCATGCTTGGTGAATACATTTATTTTGCCCAAATACCGGGTGACGTGTATCTGGGGAGCTGTTAAAATTAAAATGGTCCCCAAAATCCTCTCATCATATTATGATTTCACATGCACCCTTGCAGGATATGGTTAATACTGTTTATAATTTGGGAATGTTTTCTGCACAGACTGTGATCTCCTGTATTAGCCTTTAGTTGGACCAAGAGAGAACACTATTTCCTTGGCATCAGAGGCTCCTTTGTTACTAACTGTGCATCACTGGTTCATGAAGGACTAGGACATGGTAGTAGCCCCATCGCTACCAACAAAATGAATACTCCCAACCAACACGGCTCTTTTCAACCAATTAAGTTGTGCTTCTACTCAAGGCAGATTGAAGAGATTGCTTGGCTGAAAAAAAACAGGTTGGATTGTTTAAATATAATCCCAGATCAACACTCATTGTTTTGCAGGCTTGCATCTGTGGATGGTTGAAAACAAATCTTAAGAACTGAAAAAAAGTAGAGGGATGAAATATGTTAAATTGCTGCTTACAGGCTTGAGGAAAAGGACTTTTTGGGAAGTATACATGTATTTAAGGTGTTTTGAAAAATAAAATACACTAACTAGTCAAGCAACAATTGAAAAGAAATGGAAAAATGACAACTAAGAAGATAATAAGATTTATATGAGAAACTCCAGTGATGTGGGCTTGTATCGTATTTGGCCCCGATCTTTGTTGGTTTGACACTGCTTTCAATGATGTTTCAACTACTGTTGTAAAGTGCACCTATATATTTTGAAATTGTGGCCTCCACGTGTGTGCAG